TACGCTCCAAATGTACCTTATCGAAATAACGGTTTTAGACCCTAGGTTTCTTTGGACCAAATAAATTCATTATACCCTACACCACAAGGTGGTCAGGGTGTTATGTCTTTGTGCATTTGTTTGTAACAGGCAAAAGGAAACGAGATAGACCCTTAGTTCCTTTTGATGATCTGCATAGAATCACTTTCTGAGTTGATTTATGCATGTCAGTCCGTCTGTCCGTCCGTTTTGATATAGCTCCCATATATATCTTCGTCCGATTTGCCTTTTATTGTGCACAAAACGTGTAATATCAGCCCGAATAGTATGGAATTTTGCACATACAACCAAATTAGGCCTGAAAATAAGTATGCCAAATTTGATCGAAATCGGTTTAGATATAGCTATAGCTCCCATATATATTGTTCATCCGATTTGTTATTTTTGTTCTCAGCAGCCGTAATATGCAACCTGTAACAACAATATTTGGGGAAATATATCAAATGCAGCTTAGAAATACCTTTGCTAAATTTTATCGAGATCGGTTCAGATTTGGATATAGCTCCCATATATAACTTCGTCCGATTTACCTTTGAATGTGCACCAAACGTATAATATTTGCCCAAATAGGATGGAATTTGCCACATCCCTAGCCTAGAAGGTAGTATGCCAAATTTGGTGATAATCGGTTCAGATATAGCTATAGCTCCCATATATATTGTTCATCTGATTTGTTGTATTTTTTACCTGCAGCCGTAACCCTCCATAACAACGATATTCAGGAAAATATATCAAATACAGCTCAGAAATATCTTTGCCAAATTTTATCGACATCGGTTCAGATTTGGATATAGTTCCCATATATATCTTTATCTGATTTCAAATTAATTGTGCACCAAATGGGCAATACAAGTCCGAATTTAAAAGATACAAATGCTTCGGCATATTTAGTCCTTTGAACTTTAAATTATAATTATAATCATAGCGTGTATGATTGAATTCTCCCATGAAAAAACGTTTAATTATTAAGTGGAGCTCAACTAAATTAGCAAAGTGGTGTAGGGTATCATAAAATCGGCCCCGCCCGACTTTAGGACTTTCTTTACTGGTTACATTTGGAGTCGATCTAGAGGCGTCTGAATGTCTGGCTGGCTGGTTCGCACGATAAATCTCGAAGGGAGTATCCAATACTACATCTACTAAAGATGCAAAGTAGTGTAGGGTATTATAAAGTCAGTCCAGCCCTAGTTTTGGCCTTTCACGTCTAGACTTTCCAAAGCTTATTGTTAAGGTGCTATGGACTCGCCAACCAGTCTCTATTAAATAACCAACAAATTAGTGTTAAATTATTATTTACTTTTTATACCCTACAACACTATGTGTTGGGGGTATTATAAGTTTGATTGGGCCAGAATTTATGTAACACCTCGAAATATTGGTTTCCCATATAGGAAAGTATATATGGATCTTCCTAGCTCGCCGAGCTGAGTCGATCTAGCTATGTATGTCCGTCCGTCCGTCTGTCCGCCTGTCCGTCTGTCCATGTTAATTTGTAATCACTCTACAGGTCGCAATTATGGCCCGATCTTCACGAAATTTAGAATGTAGGTGGGGCTTGGACCAGAATAGAACCCTATTGCTTTTGGAGATGATCGCCAAATGTTTAGGGGTTGAAATGGACCAAATACTGAAAAAATGTCGGATTTTGCAGTAGCTATACAGGTCGCAATTATAGACCAATCGACGTGGAATTTCGCATGTAGCTAGAGTTTAGGGCGGGGAAGAAGCCTACCAATTTGGGTGGTCATCGGATAATATTTAGCGGCTAAAATAGACCATATCTTTTTTGTTGAAAAAATTCAAAATTTTTCATTAAACCGCGAATATTTTAAATCCCGGAGAAATCACAAAGCCATGACAAGGTTACTTCTGATCTTTACATTGATGTTAAGATCAAACAAATCGGATATATAGCAAAATATGTGCGATATGTATGTCTATCAAACAAGATATGCTTGAAAGATCTCTTATATGTCGAGAACGGCTGAACTGATTTCGACAGTTCTTATTAATTCAGAATGGCCTCTTGGCAGGAAACAAAAAACGTCTAAAAAAATCGCATAAAAATATCTCTCTAAAGATGAAAATATTGATTTTGTAAAATTTTCTCATATTTTTTCAATTTTGTCATATTTTTGGCATATTTTCATTTTGAATTAAACATTTGGTAATATTTCTACAGCTAACAAAACTAAGTAGTTAGGATATCAGGATATCATATACAGATCGCATTTATGGCTCGATCCTTACGAAATTTTGCATGGGTATAAGATGAGGGTCAGAATAGAAGCCTACTCTTTTTGGAGATGATCGCAATATATTTAGGGGTTGAAATGGACCAAAAAACTGCAAAATTGTCAGCAGGTCGTAATTATCGCCCGATCCTCACGCACATTTGAATGGGGGTTACCGGACATTGCAAAAGCCAAGCAGTTTTGGATGGCCATCCAAAAATATTCAATGTGTAAAGGAGTTTGCCAACTTTTGTAGACAAAATACGAAAATGTCCATTCCAGTGACTTTTTGGAGAATTCACAAATACAGGAAAGACGCACTTCTGACTATTTCGTTAACGCTGATTTCGTTGAAGAATATAGTCAAATGGCTGTATCTCATATAGATGTGTTTCAGTCAAAAACCAATAATAAATGTTAATCTTTTGCCACTTCTGAGAGATTATGGGTCTTTGGGAAATATTGGTTCCAGATCTAGGAACATCTACCAATAAATTGGAAATGAGCAAATTAGTTTAAGTTGCTATTATTCGAAAATTAGAGAACGAAACCTGATGGTTTTCTTTTATTATTTGTCACAATATCTTGTGGAATTCTTTCGAGTATCTCGCCTATATAAACTGTATAGTTTATTATAGTGTTGTAGGGTATTCAACGGTCGGCCCCGCTCGACTGTAGCCTTTGCTTACTTGTTATAAATTGACTAGTTTTGAATGTTTAAAATTATTCCAGTGACAGCACATTCTATTGTTTACAAGCGTACAAAAGCATTTTGGTGAGAATTTTCCAGAAAAAAGTTATACGTGATGAAATTCAAGCGTGATAGAGTGATTTCTTTATATTTGGCTGGAAAATGTTTAAAATTATTCCAGTGACAGCACATTCTATTGTTTACAAGCGTACAAAAGCATTTTGGTGAGAATTTTCCAGAAAAAAGTTATACGTGATGAAATTCAAGCGTGATAGAGTGATTTCTTTATATTTGGCTGGAAAACCACAAGTGGCTATCTTTAGAGCACTCCAGCATTTAAATGTGAATAAATCTTTTGTGTCTCGTACCATCGCTAGTTACCGTGATACTGGTAGCGTAGCCCGATGGCAAGGAATTGGACGGAAGATAACAGCAACATCAGCAGAAATGGTTCGTAATGTAAAGAAGTGAGTTGATCGAAACCCTCGTCGCAGTGGCCGAAAAATTATCTCGGGGCAAAGTCATTGAAATTCCAAAAAGTGGAATAACTTACACCGCAACAGAAAGAAAATAGACTCAAAAGTGCTAAAGAGTTGCTTCGCTTGGCCGAAAATGGTGAACTGCCGAATTTGGTTTTCTCCGGTGAGAAAACATTCGTTGGTCAGCAGTTTGTAAACAAACGAAATGATCGTGTTTACTTGCCAAAGAGGTCAGCTGAAAATGTGCAACTTCGGTTGGCCACCAGAACTCAAGCGCCGGCAATGGTGATGGTGTGGGCCGCCATAATATCCGATGGTCGCTCTCCGCTCGTATTAATCGACCGTGGCATCAGAATAAATGATGAATATTATAGCGAAAATATACTGGAGAGTGTACTAAAGCCTTGGGTACGCAAACATTTTGAGCGCAGTCCTTGGGCTTTCCAACAGGACTCAGCATGCGCCGCCCAAGAATGGTTACAAAAGGAGGTACATCGCTTCATTACCAGCCATCAAAATCTCCGGATACCAATCCGTTAAACTATTGTGTCTGTATTTTGGAAAGCAAGGTTGGCACTAAAAATACCAAAGTGTCGATCACCTCAAGCAAGCGCATCGCCGGGAATGGGCCAAAATGCCGCAGAGCAACATTCGGGCAGCGTGTGACGGTTTCACTGGTCATAATTCGTGCCAAAGGTGACCAATTGGAGCAAATCTAAACTTATTCTAAAATTTCATGTTATTTCCGAAATTGTTTTGCTTTCAATCAATAAAATTTCAAAAAAATATATATATAAATTACGGCGTTTGACTTTGTTGCAGTTTTTTTTACCTCACCTTGTATATATTTTTCTTAAATTATCTCTTTGTGCACTGATTAAAGGGTTTAATGTTTTTACAATAGAATACATATTTTTATACCCTCCACCTTGGAAAGGAGGGTATATTAACTATGCCATTCCGTTTGTAACATTCTTAAATAATCGTCGTAGACCCCATAAAGTATATATATTCATAATCAGCATAAAATTCTAAGTCGATGTAACGATGTCCGTCTGTCTGTTGAAATCACGATACAGCCCATATTATTCGACGTAGAGCACCAAAATTTAGCAGAGCAATTTGTATTGTGTCTAGGATGGTTGGTATTCTGGTTCTGGTTCAGGTATAGTCCCCATATAACGGTACCTCCCGATATTCGGTATTTTGATGACTTATGCCACATTTTTTCATGGATTTGTCTGGAAATTGGTATTTGTAGGTCATAACGAGTCCCTGTAAGTGTGGCAAAACATTGCATGTGTAGGTCCACGTTGTGGTATAGCCCCCACATAAAGGTACCTCCCGATATTCGGTTTTTTTTGCCACATTTCTCTAATGTTTCCTTTTCCCTAAGGTGGAGGGTATTAAAAGTTTGGCCTGGCCGAACTTAATGTTTTTTTTTTTTTTTTTACTTGTATTCAAAAGAAATTTTGGCACATACAAATCAAATTTCATTGAGGCTAAGCTTTATTTTTATTAATGTATATATGAAAATGTCAATTCACAGCTTTAAATCTATAAGCAATAGTCAACAATTTCATTAAAGCTGCACGTTTTGCGACAACATTCATCATAAACACCGGAATATATACGTTCTTGACGAGCACTGGCAACTGCACTGGGTCGTTTATTGAATAGCATATCGGCAAAAAGTGGTTGTAGTGGTTCTTTGCCACTTCTCTTAGACAGTTTTGAAATGAAGAGATAAGGGGGCACTGAAAAAGAAAACAAACAACATTATTTTAAAATTTTTAAAATAATTGGAACTACAATAATTACCATTGGATTTTTTGTCGAATTTCGGATTGAAGCCATTTTCGCAGACAGTTTGCAAAAGTTGCGATAAACTTGGTCCACAGACACGGGTTTGCAATTGAGCCACACACTTATACAACGCGACACAGCCTATTATAAAATATAGAAGTTTCATGTTGTGCACCAAAATGTTTTTCCTGCGAAATACAGATAAAATATTAACTATTCGTATTTGATGTTATGCGTTAACTGTTACTTCATGAGAAATGCCAACAATATTTATAGTCCCCGTGGAACTTTTTTTTTTTTTGATATAAACGATTCATAAAATGCAAATTTTTGTCTGGCTCCCTCATACTTTTACACGTCTGCAACAAAATGTTATGCGGATTTTGCGTTATCCTATAGCTGCAAATTTATTTGGCGGCACATTATTCGGAAAGAGTAAATGAGAGATGAGCTGAATCTTAACTCTTTAATTTTATTTTTCAGGTTACTTTGAAATTGTTCGTGTTGTTGTTACAACAAAATGAAAAGTCTTTGTAGTGGGAAATTCATATTGTGCATTAAGTGAGTATAATTTGGTGAGTATAATTTGAGTTATGGCGAGATAAAATATATCTTTCATCATACTAAGTAGTAAATATTAACTTTTGTCTTTCTGTTAGGAACTCCTAGTGTAACGTGCTGATTTCATCACGTACATTTATACGAACAAACAAACGCACCTATTACACAATGAGAACAACTACAGCGGCCACTGCAAGTGCGACGCTAACTGCACCAACCAACCACCACCACCATGCACACACGACTCGGTCATACGCAGTCAACAAGGCGACAACAGTACTAGCCAACAAACGCAGCATTCATTGGGCGCGTGGTGAACAAAGTAGTTTTCGGTGGTGTGCTGCTCACAGCGTAAGGCTAAAAATTCGCAATGACTTGGTAGAACCGGTCACATATAGCGTTCGGTTTGAGGTGCGATAAAGGGAGGCTCGCTACTGCAGGAGCTTGCCAAAGGGTAGCTAGTGATTTTTCTAAAGATCATCGGCCGTCCTCCGACTAATAAAAGCGTTATTCGGGAATACTTTTTCCAAGACTGGCTCTCATTAATTTGAGTGGCTGGTAATTCATTTACACAGGAGTTTCGGCTCGCTGTTCCACAGGAGCTTCGGCTCGCTGTTCCACAGGAACTTCGGTTCGCTGTTCCACAGGAGTTTCGGCTCGCTGTTCCACAGGAGTTTCGGCTCGCTGTTCCACAGGAACTTCGGTTCGCTGTTCCACAGGAGTTTCGGCTCGCTGTTCCACAGGAACTTCGGTTCGCTGTTCCACAGGAGTTTCGGCTCGCTGTTCCACAGGAGTTTCGGCTCGCTGTTCCACAGGAACTTCGGTTCGCTGTTCCACAGCAGTTTCGGCTCGCTGTTCCACAGGAGTTTCGGCTCGCTGTTCCACAGGAACTTCGGTTCGCTGTTCCACAGGAGTTTCGGCTCGCTGTTCCACAGGAACTTCGGTTCGCTGTTCCACAGGATCTTCGGCTCGCTGTTCCACAGGAGTTTCGGCTCGCTGTTCCACAGGAACTTCGGTTCGCTGTTCCACAGGAACTTCGGTTCGCTGTTCCGCAGGAGCTTCGGCTCGCTGTTCCACAGGAGTTTCGGCTCGCTGTTCCACAGGAACTTCGGTTCGCTGTTCCACAGGAGTTTCGGCTCGCTGTTCCACAGGAACTTCGGTTCGCTGTTCCACAGGATCTTCGGCTCGCTGTTCCACAGGAGTTTCGGCTCGCTGTTCCACAGGAACTTCGGTTCGCTGTTCTGCAGGAACTTCGGTTCGCTGTTCCACAGGAGTTTCGGCTCGCTGTTCCACAGGAGTTTCGGCTCGCTGTTCCGTATTATAGTCAAACATTGGTAGTGGAGTAGACGTAGTTAGAGAATCGTAGCTAGGCTAGTTACCTCGCCCCTATAGCCGACCCGAATAACAGAAACCCGAGCTGCCGAACGAGCCACGATCCATCTACACAGCGAACGCATCGGTTGCCGAATCTACCCTCAACGAGCTGTCGAACACGAACGAGCCCCGAACCATCTACACGGACGCATCGGTTGCCGAATCTACCCTCAACGAGCTGTCGAACACGAACGAACCCCGAACCATCTACACGAACGCATCGGTTGCCGAATCTACCCTCAACGAGCTGCCCAACCAGTACGAATGTCAATCCGCTCACGAAGACCCGGACAAGTTCCCGATTACCGTCGAATCGTCAACAGACCGCATCACCCGAACACAACCATCATAATTCCTGATCGTCGACAACCGACGACCACCAGTTCCCGATTACCTTCAAATCGTCAACGAACACAAGTTCCCGATTACCTTCAAATCGTCAACAGACCGCATCACCCGAACACAACCATCATAATTCCTGATCGTCGACAACCGACGACCACCAGGTCCCGATTACCTTCAAATCGTCAACGGACCGCATCACCCGAACACAACCATCATAATTCCTGATCGCCGACAACCGACGACCACCAGTTCCCGATTACCTTCAAATCATCAACGAACACGAGTTCCCGATTACCTTCAAATCGTCAACGCAAGCATCACCCGAACGCAACATCGTAATTCCCATATTCTTCACAATCAACCTCCGACGGTCATCCCCGAGTATCCGATCGTCGACTAGCCACACTCATACCAACCACCCGAGTACTCATTGCGTACACCCGACATCATCACTCCCGATTGTTCACGAATCGTACGCCCGTCTGCCTACGATCCGAGTCAACATCGAATCCCCGATCACCAATTCAGCAACATCACCTTGGAGTCACGAACATATCCGAAGTCCATTTACCATCCTATATTCAATACTTATCTTATCGTATTTCAACCCGAGTAGATTGTAATCTAGAATTAAAGATCAATAAAACATCCGATATTTACCCCCAGGAAAGGGAGAAATCTACTCTTATTATTTCATAAGGTTTAGTGGGTCCTTATGGCGACCCTGGGTACAGCTGAGCTTACCTCAGCCGACGAGAAAACCACGTTACAAATGGCGCCCGAGCAGGGACCTGATTCGAAATCGCATCGCGGCAAAACCGAAACATCCGCCACCGAGGACGAGTCAAGTCAGAAATACGATAAGAAATTGAAACCCGAATCCCTAGGATGGATTTATCTGCTGAAGAAAGAACAACTGATAGAGCAATGCCAGGCGGCAGCTATACAAACAGAGGGATATACGGTCGAGCACCTAAGGAGGCAACTGGCGGACTTCGTGAGAAAAAAGCGACTGAGGAGTTCGACCGAGAATTTATTACGTGACTTGGAAAATGAGCTCCAGGCAGAAGAAAAAACAGTCGTCACTCAAGAGTGTTTGCAGATTCCCGAGCGACCTCCTCGCCGGGAGAGTTGTGATTCCGAGACCATGAGTATGGTACAGCGATGGAACTTAAAATTTACAGGCGAGGGAGATTTGTCCGAGTTTTTGGAAAGACTAGAGGAATTGGCCGAGTGCTACCGAATACCCCACGACCGACTCGTATCCACCCTGCCCTGCATCCTGGAAGGTAACGCGCTTAAATGGTATAGAGTCAAGAAAGGGGATATCACGACCTGGAAGTCGTTCCGAATAGAGGCCGAAAAATTTTTCTTGTCAAAACGTCATTTAACACAACTTGAACACTCGTTTTATAACAGGCGACAATTCAATCGGGAGAAGGCCAAGGATTTTGTTCTTCAAATGCTAACCATGGCAAAGCAACATCCTACCCTACGACAAGTGGACCACCTGGATCGGATTTACGACGGCCTTCGACCCGAATACCGTCATTACGTTCGTCGGAGTGACTTTCAGACTTTGGACGAATTGATGTCTCTGGTGGACGATTTCGAGCTGTTGAAGAAGGACGAGGCTCGTGTCGAACGTCCACATACGTCTCACATGGTATCGCAGACCTCGGGAGGATATAATAGGTCAACGCATTGTTGGCGTTGCAAAAAGAAGGGCCATATACGCTACCAGTGCCAAGAAAAGGGAAAATTGTTTTGCTCCCATTGTGGCAAGGAGGGTATACTATCCCGGAACTGCGAGTGCCGAGCGAACCCGACCATCGACACCGATCATCATGGGAGATATTACATTTGGATCTTCCTCAATGGGAAAGGTTTGTGGGCTCTCGTAGATACCGGAGCTTCGCTTACCTACATCGATAGCTCAGTCGGCAAGTGGTTGGACACGAAAAGGGTTAAACCGATCACGATAACCAGAAGAGTACAGCTTGCTGACCAACAAATGGCCACCTGTGGAAGGGTATACCCGGTGTCGATTGTCTTCAATGACCAAGCCACCTCCATAGAGGCGACAGTACTACCGACGCTTGCCGAACCTGTAGTTCTAGGGATGGATTTCCTGCTGAAAAGAGGTCTGGATATCGTCTTAGACGGGAAGGTCGTCCCCAAGGCAGCGATTACTGATCGCTCCGGTCTGCATTACCTGCACAGCATATCGGACTGGGTGCTGTCGCCCCAAAAGAAGAACCAGTTACCCGAGAATCATGTAATACCTCACCGACGAGCCTATGAAAACTACAACGGTTTCCGTACCAGAGTTCGACGATCCTTCCGAGTTCATACCAAATTAGTCACCAACACGGATTTTACGAAGGCTAAACCTTTAAAAGTTCCAGTCCAGTCGCCCACTAAAACATGCAAACCCCCGGAATCAAGACAGCGAATTACCGCAAAAACAAAATCAGTGTCTCCGCCGGCAAGTTTATCGAAGAGGCAGATGGCAATTGAACCAGCAACTAGAGACCTTTTGCCGAAATATCAACAAGGAAAGACGACCAAGGCTGCACAGCCTGCAGCACCAGCATATTATCATATAACCCGGCCGAAACAGCACGACTATCTCCGTGAAGCATCACTTTCCCAAGCAGGGGGGGGATGTAACGTGCTGATTTCATCACGTACATTTATACGAACAAACAAACGCACCTATTACACAATGAGAACAACTACAGCGGCCACTGCAAGTGCGACGCTAACTGCACCAACCAACCACCACCACCATGCACACACGACTCGGTCATACGCAGTCAACAAGGCGACAACAGTACTAGCCAACAAACGCAGCATTCATTGGGCGCGTGGTGAACAAAGTAG